GAACCAGTCAGTCTCATACCGAGTGGGGGGGTCCAGAACCAGGAAGCGGGGGGTGTCAGACACCATTTTGCCCATTAGAAGCATCCCAGTAAGCTCAGCTAATGCACTTTGAACTGAGGAACTTCAGTATTTTTACCATCCCTGTTGTGGAAAATGTATTTTAACCCTATAATGCCAAATGTATCATATTTGATTCATACGGTTTCTGAATTGTTTTGCGTCTGACACCTTTTGCATAATTTAATGGTAAATTTAATGGTACACAATCAGATACACCTGATAACAGGGGGCAGAAGACTACACAAAAAATAATCTTGACTTATCGCATGGTAATAAATGATTAATATAAAAAATCTATTTCTGTTTTTTCTTTTTACATATTTTGTTAAAAGGCCAAATAAAGACTTCAAACAAAAAAAAAAGTCATTTTCTGTTTTGTTTTATTCTTGGATCGGGCTTTAAAGGGTCAAAGCAAAAGTCTGAGTCCATCTGAGGAAGTAAGAAATAGAAATCTATTAAAATGGAAAAAAGGGGAAACTTCATGAAGTGAGAGCAGCCATACAGGTGGTTCATATGACGCACCAAACTGCCTAAAAATAAAACAAATCATAGTACATTTTATAACCCTCTCTGAGCCCGAGAAGAGGGGTAAAATCTGTCTCCCATCATAGAGAAACCTGCACCTATCCCAAACAATCATTAAGAAAACATTAGGAGATAAAGTATAAGGAGACACTCTCTGAGGAGGAATGAGTCCCATGAGAAAGAAAAAGAACCTTTAAAATCTTCAATTGGGGAAAGTTACCAGAGAGAAATTACGAAAGTGATTCTACATATATTGATTTCCCTAACAATCCCAGAATTAATGTTTGTCCAGATGGAGGAGAAACACCTGGAGCCGAATAAACCGACGATTCACAGAGACACAAATCAGCCATTTATGGGTGGATTTAATTTAATTTGAGCTTTAGGGATGATTTATGGATCATCTGTGTGACATTTCCAGTTAATTTATCCACATCTCTGTGGATTTTTTCATCTTAAATGTTGTCATTTCGGAGCTTCCTCCAACAGAAAGAACAAACGTGATGACACTGAAGACACATTCATTATCTCCAGCCATCTCAAACTTTTAAAAGCCTTTTTCTTCTGTCATCCCTCTGACGAACAATCAGAGACTCACAATAATGAACCACGTATTTCCTGTCAAAGCGTCTTTAATGCGGATGGATTTTAGGAGACTCTTGTTGTATCCGACATATCTATTTCTATGCATGCAATGCAGAAAGTGAGTGTCTACTCACATTATGCTGCTTTTATTCCAGATACAAATAAAGGAGAATTCTTCCATCTGCAAAGATGTCACTCAGGTGAAAGCAATCTTAGCAAAAAATGAGAAATCTAATTCCCATTTTTCTGCAGCTGTCACGTTTTTTTGTTTGTTTTTTTGCACGGAAAGTAGCATTCGGCTAATTCCACCATTCTCTGATTCATGTCTCCTGAAATGAAAATGTTTGAGGGGAAGGTTGGTTTGTTTTTAGTGTGCTTCTTCGAATTGCTTGTTCAATAGGATTTGCTCTCCAGATATTATTTGCTCTTTCATCTTTTTTGGTTTGGAGAACCCTCATCTGAAGCAGCTTCCTGCACACCAGCAAAAAAAAAAAACAGTTAGGAACTTTAGTATTTGCTCAGAAAACCCACCATTAAAAACACTGCTTCTTATAGTATAGAAAAGACACGTTCAAGAGCCATTACAGAGGAACAATAATAAAAAAATCTACAATTTTACACTTATTTTAATTATTGTGCTGATATAAATAATTACAACCAATAGAAATAGAACATTTCTACAATTTCTGGTTGATAAAATTGAAACTGAGGCCAAAAGATGACGAAAAACACAAATTTATTTTCCAATTTGACGTGAGGACCCTGTTTTCTGGTGCTCAGGCAGTTTGAAAGATTAAGATTGTTTTTTTTTTGTAACAGTTGCAGTAAAAAGTCAGAAATCGGTCGCCTTGCTTTTGAACATTTAATGGCTAAAATGTGCTATTGTCCCACACTATGTTAAACTAAAACACTTTTGTATAGGAAAATAAATCAAATGTGGCTCAAAAGTCACAGGACACCGTTTGATTTCAGAAACTAAAGGGACGATCGCACATCTGAATACCCCGGCAGCTAATGGGTGAGGGGGCCTGTCTTTTAGGCGGCCATCTTGAAAGCCGCCATCTTGAAAGCCGCCATTTTGGATCAGGGGAAAGTTTTTCTGAAGGGAAGGTGGTCGTGTAGCATATCAAAAAGAGCAGAATTGTCTCAAAAATCAATTTCTACAATCAGATTTTCAGCATCTCTTTTCGGTCAGATACATTTGCGACAAATGCTGGTAGATGTTTTCAGTGTGGTGAACACAAAGATCCTATCAAAAACAGCCAAAGTTTTTTACTTCTGAGCCCAACATTTAATTTTCCCTTTTGTTGCTGATATTAAACAGTGTCCTGTAGCTTTTGACTGGCTATGCATTAATAGATGTTTTGTGAATTGGTCTTTTTTTATAAAAAAAAAATGGATGTGCACTCACAAAATCTACATATTAACACAGGCCCATCAAAAGCCTGGTAGTTTTTCTCCCAGGTACAGAACAGGTAAGTTCCTGCTGTCCATTTCTGAGTAACTTTCAGTTCAGTCGGGGCCCCTGTGTAACCTCACAACCCCCAAAAGTTTAAGCAATTTAATTTGTCACGTGACAAACAAATTAGGGAAGAGAAGTTTAACGAATCTTCCCTTTGATTTAACCTATGTGTACTCTACACAGACTTAGTCCCGTGTCATAATTATTGATTTAACAAAGTCAAACAAGTTATAGTTGTTACTGTATATATACTCTGATTATACTGATTAACCACCATTGACTGCTCATCAAACAGTCCAAACACAAACCAATTATAATCACAAGCTCTCTGCATTTTGTTTGGACTGATTACTTCCTGGAATAGTTTGATTTAGACACTCACTTCTCGGATCATTTGTTTAATCAAAGGAAAAAGGTTCTCGCTCCTGGAGATTTGAGGGATTTGAGTCCCGCTTGGCCACTGCCTCCTCCCGGGTGTGAAATGGAATCAGATCCGGGTTTATATTTGTCAAAAACGTGGTTAGAAATGGTGGCGGTGGCATTAAAAGGCTTCCAGGGATGAAACGAGTTCACAAAAAATGGACATTTGTGTGAAAAAGAAAGAGATTACAAAATGTAGAAAGAGTGTGAGCTGTTTAAAGACTTGGAAGTGTGCCATGATTTTCTAGGTGGACGTATGTACGCTTGTCTTTTATTTTGAAACTTCAACTTCCAGGATGTTTAGGGTGGGAGCAGCCTGTAGGAGCCTCAGTTGGATATCCAACTCCCCCCACATCCAAGTCGGCCGTTTTGATAAGGTCATGTGACTAGCAGCTTTCTGAGCTGGAAACGAAACTTTACTGTCTATACGAAATCGGAAGATAAACGATGTCCTAACCCTAACCCTGATCCTAACCCTAACCCTGACCCTAACCCTAACCCTAACCCTGACCCTAACCCTTACTCTGAACCTAACCCTAACCCTAACCCACCTTTTTACCGTCTTTTTCATGGTTTTAAGCTCTTTTAGCTCTTTTAAGCCTGTTTTATGGAATTATGCACTGTAAAAAATGAGGTGCCATTTCATGTTGTTTTAAATCTTTTATTGTTGTCTTTAAATACACAGAAAAGATTTTTAAAGACATTTTAACACAAACGAGGAGCTGACTCCTATTTAACCTGATTTTACTTACCTGGGACTCGTGGGATACCTGTAAAACTTACGGAGAAACCTTGTTTCCTAACCCTAACCCTGACCCTGACAATAACCCTTATCTTAACCCTAACCTTAACACTAACCCTAATCCTAACCCTAACCCTAACCATAGCCCTGACACTGACCCTTAACCTAACCCTAACCCTAACCCTAACCCTGACCCTAACCCTGACCCTAACCCTAACCCTGAATCGTTTTTCTTTTTCCGGCTCATGTCCGCGTTTTCTTCTTTTGTAAATAAATCTCTATGGTTTGGCTCGTTTTCCCGCCACAGGGATGTTTTTCATCTAAACTGTTTTGTTCATGATAGCAGTGATGTGACGGACTGAATGTGAAAGATGGCGGCAGCTTGGGGGGGTGATTTTAAGTCATGATCCCGGATAATTCATCCATCTGACGCCTCCTTTGTCAGATGAATTCAATGGATTTGTCCTGATAAATGCCTCATTTAAACTCTTAGACCTGTGAGAGAGGAGAGGCAAAATGGACACGTTTAACTCATTGACTGCCAGCCATTTTCAGAACAGAGAGTCCTATACTGCCAGAGTTTTTTTGAGCATTTTGACTGATTTTTCAAGAGCCACAGAATAGTTTGTGCTATGACTATGTAAACACCGAACACACCAAAAGAAAGAGTAGACTCTCTTCTTTCATCAGGAAAAAAAATTGTTTCTACCTTATTCCGTTCTTCCTGGACTTGCGTCTCATCGGCGACATGTTCTCTCATAGCGAACCATTGCGTTTGTTTTTATTTGCCTACAATATATGCTAATCTTCCATCAAAAGTGGCACTGCCCCCTAGAGGGTAAATTTGTTACAACATACTCTGTCTAGAAGCCGATATTTCCAGAAAAACTTTAGCCGATCGTTCCCCAAAGCCACTCGCATTGAAAAACATAAAAGACGTCTATAGACGTCTTTGGCAGCGAATGAGTTAATTTCCTAATTCTGTCTCATATTCATTTTACGACCGTCATGTTGGAATTTCTTTTTTTTTTTAACCTAAACTCTGGTACTCCTCTTTCTGTCCACTCTCCTCTTCCCTCTCCAGCGTGTGCATAAGGACCCAAAACACAATTATTTTACAAATTGGTGGAGTGTTATTTCAAATATTCTCCCATTTCCTGTTTTTATTCTCTGGCCTGGAGCTTGTGATTGACTGTAATTCTCCTGATTTGACTCACCATGATTCTTTGCCCCCTCAGTTTTAATTAAAACATTTAAAGTTTTCTCCATGCTTTCAATATTTCTCATCATATTCTCTAAACTTTTTCTCAGTGTAAGTTAAATTAAAACCGTGCGTTCTCTTACAGCTGCTGTCAGTTTGGTCAAAAATTTTCCTCTGAAATTTGAATATTTGAATAATTTACTATAAATAGCCATTGTTCATTTAAAGATGAACCACTTGATTTTGTTCAAATTCTGCCTTTTGCTCAATGTGGCAAATAAATACCAGTTGGGTTTAATCAAATCTAAAAAAACGGGCTCATTTATAAAGAGTGGGGGCTTGTTTCTATGTTAATTTACAGTTTAATTTACAGATGTTTTCCTCTTATGTCATTTCTCACAGATCATTTCTGAGGAGTCTCATTTCCTTCCAGATTTTCTTTTAACAGGCTTTTTAACCACCCATCATTAATGGTCATTTCTTCTTCTCTTCCAAACTAAAACCACTGTGTTATCACCTAATAACCCCCCCTCTTTTGGCCCTTGTGGCCCTTTTGTTCTCAAACTATGAAGAGGATCCAGAGGAAGCCGATTGGTTAAATAGGGGGTTCAGATAAGGGCATTTCCACGGCTTTAAATTTGCATTTCCTGACCTTTCCAGTCGATCTGTGTGAGGAAATAGTTTAAATTCTGATCTGAAACCTCGTTAGTACTCAGCACCACCACCATTTCATCAAATCTTCGTGGTGTTCTGGTCATTTCCCACCAATAAAATCATTTAAGAGCACATTTTAATATCTTTATTTCCTTTGTCATCCCTTAGACTCTTTTATTTATTTATTTTTTCAACACATTTTTTATTATTTTTTCATAAATAATACAGTGTGGTACGAATCTACATGTGTATTTTTACACTTTTAAACATAAAAAACAAAACACAAACACAGGTTGATTTCAAGAGTATGAAAAAAAAAACATCATTGCATAATTAGTGGTACGACAGGTCTCCAACGTTTAGTGAATATGGGTATTTGTAATCCTAGAGAATATGTTATCTGTTCCATTTTCCATCTGATAGTTATACATTTTAGAGCAGCTGTTAATAATATATTCAAAATATATTTTTCAGCTCGTGTAGTAATAGTTGTAGGTGTTACTCCCAATAAGGCAATGTCTGTATTGAAGATTACTTACTATTTTTACATCAAAAATATCTTTCCAAACTCTTTTATTTTTTAACATTATGCTGTGCTAAAGAGAGAAATGTTGGAGGAAACCTGGATAATGTGAGTGAGGAAAAGCTAATCAATCAATCAATCAATCAATCAGTCAATCAATCAAATCAATTGAGGGAGAAGCACAAAAAATCTTGAGTCTGGTGATAAAAATACAACATGATTTTCCTATTTAGGGCACAAAGAACCAAAGGACCTGCGGAGAGGCAAAATAAAGAGACATATTCATCATTTCAGGCTTCAAATGCAGCATTTGTTTGTTTGTTTTCTCACACTTTTTTGTTTAATCACAGAAAATTGTTTCAGGCCGGGCGGTGTGGGTGGGATCCTTCACGTTACGGGGGGGATTTGCACGTCTGTCAGCCTGATTTATTTAAATGAATTCAGCCTGAACCCCAGAGCATGTTTTGATTTGGCTTTTTTTTTTTAAACGGTGACGTGTTTCTGTTTGGTTATTAATTCGTGGCCATCTCTGACATTAGGAATCTTCTGTCACGTGGTTCTTTTTCCTGTGAATATTTAGGAGGGTTTTATTAAACCAAGCGGGAAATGCATTAAACCTTTTATTCAAATTAAATCATCACAAAATTTGGGTCTTTTTTTTTAGGTAAAATGCCAAAATGATGGGCCTGTTTGAAACACTGAATTAGTGTTAATAATTGACCAGCTCTGCATAAAGTGTCCCTTTGGTGAAAATTAACCCTTTAAAGCCTGATCCAAGATAAATAGGAAGAATATTGGATTTTTTTAGTCTGAACTCTTCCTTTGGCCCCTCAACAACATATGAAGAAAAAAAACGGAAATTATTTTGATGTATATTTAGCTAAGCTAACGCGGTAATTTCGGTCTGTAAAGTTTAACAGACTGTTTATTGGAAGGTAATTGTATTTTTATTTTTTAATCTCTTTTAGCTCTATTATGTTGAGTTCATATGATGCCTTCATTGACCGTTCAAATTAAAAGGATATGAATCATCAGACCATCAATTATCCGAGGAGGCTACATAAAGTGTGTTTGCGGTATCGAGTGTTAGCTTAGCTAAAAACAGATCGGTACGATGCTAACGCGGTAATTCCGGTCTGTAAAGTTTAAAAGACTGTTTATTGGAAGGTAATTGTATTTTTATTTTTTAATTTCTTTTAGCTCTTACAGTGAGTTCATATGATGCCTTCACTGACCGTTCAAATTAAAAGGATATGAACCATCAGACCATCAATTAGCCGGGGACGCTACATAAAGTGTGTTTGCGGTATCGAGTGTTAGCATCGTACCGATATATATTTTGCTAAGCTAACATGGTAATTTCGGTCAGTGAAGTTTAAAAGACTGTTTATTGGAAGGGAATTGTATCTTTATTTTTTAATTTCTTTTAACTCTAACGGTAGGTTCATATTATGCCTTCACTGAACGTTCAAATGAAAGGATATGAACCATCAGACCATCGATTAGCCGGGGACGCTACAAACCATGAAGCATCTTTGCTAGTTTCCACATCAGTGCTGTCAAAATGGAAGAAGCTCCCCACTAAAAGAGTCTAAGTTAAGTCCTCGTTTTATTCAAAGATTCCTGAGTCACAATCATCGTCAAAAGGGGCTGAAAATCCATCTAAACGCACACAGCTCGATAAACTGCTGCTACATTAAGTTTGCCCTTTTTGAGAAGCAAAAACATGGCGGCTGATTTCTTTTTATTAGTTCATGTCTGATCGGTTCATCAGAACGAGACACTGGCTGAGCAGCTGGTTCAACTTCACAGTCAAATCAAGTCAAAGTGTCGACGATTACAGGTCTATTTCATGATTAAATGCTAATATATACACGTGTAGGCGGTTGTCTTCGGTCAAACCGAGCTGCTGTGAGTAGATGAGGATTAAAAAGGAGGGCCTGACTTAGATCAAGTGTTCTGTTTACAAAAAGTCACAGAAATAAAGTGTTTTTCTCTGCGTGTTTGTGTCAGAGAAAATGGAATATATGAATATCAAAGGGATTAAAGATTGAACAGCGGTCCCATTCAGACCCAGCTGGTAATCACTACCTGCCAAAATAAACTGAAAAAAAGCCCCGAAAGGCTTAAATCTGCTGAGTCAGAACGTGTAAACCCCCAAAATCTGCCTTTCCGGTCTGAGTCGACGTTAGCCTTGAATTGCTAGCCGCGGCTAATGGCTAATAACAACACAACAACATTAATCAAGTCTGCAGGAAGCCAAGGATGGATATCCAACTCCGCCCACATCCAAGTCGGCCATTTTTATTAGGGCACCAATAGGAAGATCCCAGGCAAGAAAATCCTAATTGCTTCATGGTCATATAGACGTTAATTTAAAAATATTGAAATGAATCTTGAAAACACTGAATTAAACTCTATCCATAACATTATGTTAAATAGTGGATGTTAAATAGGTTTGTACAATAAGTCCAAACAAGTTTAACCAAAAAATATTTATTTCTCACAATTATGAAGGCTGGAGGGTCAGGGTCAGGGTCAGAGTTAGGATTAGGGTTAGGGTCAGGGTTAGGGTTAGGGTTAGGATTAGGTTTAGGGTCAGGGTTAGGGTTAGGTTTAGAGATAGGGTCAGGGTTTAGGGTTAGGGTTAGGGTTAGGTTTAGGGTAAGGGTTAGGGTCAGGGTCAGGGTCAGGGTTAGGGTTAGGGTCAGGGTTAGGGTTAGAGTCAGAGTTAGGATTAGGGTTAGGGTTAGGGTTAGGGTTAGGGTTAGGGTCATTAATGTGGGCCACCATAACATCAGTAACAGGTCAGTTTGAAATCAAAGACACTAACCTGTCAAAATTCTGCTAATTTTGGGAGGGGTAAATCTAAGAAGCAGTAGCAGGGGTTGTCCAGCAGGGGGAGCCCTTTGGGTGGACGGAGTCCTGGAGGAAACGGGGAAGAAGTCCAGGAGGAGTTTGGGTGGAGGCCATGTTTGTGTCTGAGCAAACATCTGGAGACGCAGACCCAGCTGTTCACAGGAAACTTCAGACCAGAATTTTTACCAAAGCTTTTAGGTGAATAGATCTAATTAGCCTTAATTGTTTTTTTCTTTTTTAGTTGGTTATGTTTAGTCCAGTCATTTTTATTTATTTAACCTATATTTCTACCATTACTGAATTTGCTTGGAATTATATTTTACACTGTTTTTATATATGTATATATATATATATACATATATATATATACATATATAAATATAGTATAGTATAGTATTAGTATAGTATATACTATAGTATAGTAAGTATATATAAATATATACATATATATATATATAAATATATATGTATATATATAAATATATGTATATATATAAATATATGTATATATATTTTACATATATATAAACACTAAATATAGAAAAACTGAAATAAAATTTAAAAAATTAAAAAATAATGTAAAAAATAATATGTAAACAGTATATATATATATAAATTGAAAAAAATAATATAAAAAATAATATGTAAACAGTATATATATACTGTCTACATATAATTTTTTTCAAATTTATTTCAGTTTTTCTATATTTAGTGTTTTAGTTTCTTAATGCTGGCGGTGAGGATTTGAATGTTTTAACGAATGGGCACATGGGATTTAATTAGTTTATTCTTCTTGGACTTTTTTCATTTTTAAAGCACCTTGTGTTGAAATTGATTTGCATAAAAACTGTTTAACGAATGAAAACAGAT